AAGATATGTCATTTAGTTTTAAAAATGGTTTATTTGTTATGTGAGTTAAGCTATTTATTATAGCTATTGTTGTTTATTTGTTAGGTTATCATTTGGAACTAATAGTTTTGTGAATGTTTTTCAAGTTTATAAAATTATAACCGTTAAAAGATATTGGCGAAATACTATCGGAATATGAATTTGATATATTATCAGTGAGGAGATTGTATGATCACGATGCTAAATTATTTTATAGAATATTGATCAATTTAAATAGTGCATATTAAAAGACAATTCGAGATACATAAGTAGTGGCCGACTTGACCCTATTATCTATTTGGCCAATTAATTGTTTCAGTTCATATGGTATTATTAACTTTATTGATTTTACCAATATCGTTATGTCTCATGTATGACTTGTTTGCAAGGTTAACTTTTACAATTGTTTTATCATTTAAGGTCACATAGTTTACAAAGATCAACAAAATAAATATATGGTCGATTACTCACACATATTATATACAACGTATTTTTTTCTATCTTTTGATTCTTACTTTCCTAGCACCAGGGTTCATGAAGTAAATAATTATTATATTCAATTTCGATGAATCTAAAAGCTAAAATGGTATCTAAGGAAAAAAAATATTTAGAAAATTTCAGAATTAGTACAATGATATTATATTAATTATCAACCATAATTCCTTTTTTTCTTATCAATCATAATGCAAGATAAACATTACAAAAATTCGATTCAAAATAATAGGCAAGTTTCGATAAACACATTGATTGGTCTCTCGATCTATATCCAATAGAATCTCAATAACTAACAATGTTGAGACTTTGAAATTTTATTAATTTATAAAAATATTAATTTACAAAAGTTTCCTTATTTAGATTTCTTATTTTAAAAATATTTACTATAAGATAAAAAATATTTAATTTTCTGGTATAGGTATTAATTATTATTTTTGAAATTTAACATTTATATTATTTTTCTTATATTATATTATATATAATATATATTGCATACAATTTAAATGTGGGTTTAGATATAATATTACTAAATCTCATCAAAAATATATTAAGTATTAAGAAAATATAGCAATAATTTCATTGTGAATAGAAAAAAAACAATATAATTATAGATTCTTACTTATATAAGATATATATATATATACATATAAATAAATATATTAACATAATCAAATTTATTAATTATGTTTTATTTTTAAAAAATATGTTGTATTTTCTAATTTATGATGTAAGTTTATATAATTTTCGATTTCTTCACATATGTAAATCTTAGAAAATTATTAATAACATTTTAGAGTTATTTGAAAATTTATATTTATTTAAATATCAAAATTATTAAAATTAAATGAGGTGATATATATGAAGATGATATGATTTTTGTTATTTATAAAAACCAATAGAAATACAAATAAAATAAAAAAATCTTATATGGCCTCAAAATTATTCAACAAATAATAGTACATCAAGTGTCATTTTTTGCCTATATGGAAAAAAAAACTTTACTTTATTATATAAGATTTGAGTCAATTTCACTTTTACTTTTACTTTCCTTTTGACACTTTTTTGATGTTTACCTTTTTTAAATGGACATTTTCAAAAATATGTTAACATGAGATTCCATTATAAATACAAAAGATATTTATATCCTCGATTTATAAATATAAATAATTATTTAAATAAAAAACTAAAAAAATAGTTTTCGAATTTAACTTTTTCAAATTCAAACTTTTTATAATTTTTTGTGAATTTTGTTTTTAATTTTTTTTCATATTATCATTTTGAAATTTGAAAATTCTTTTAAACTATTTTTGATTTTTTTTTTTGTTTTTCACTTTTACCTTCCATTTGATACCATTATCCATGTTTACCTTCTCTAAATGGACGTTTTCAAAAATATCTAAGTATGAGACTTCATTAGGAGGCAAAACATTTAGAGAAATTCTTTACGATAGACCTAAAAATTTTTTTGTCACAAATGTAGACCTCAAAAATAAAAATGATCAAAATAGACTTAAGTATTTTATTAAAAATAAGTAAATATACACTTATACATTTTGGGTTAACTAATCATAGACATCTGATGCTTGACATCTGGCAAGTAAAATTTGTTTTTATTTGAAGGATAAAAATAAATAGGAAAACTCAAAACATCTCAAATGTGTGTTGGAGATTCGAAATCAGATTGGTTGAAAACGAAACAGTGATGCCCACGTGGTCACTAGTTGTTCACCATGACAGCATGTTGTCCCTTTTGGATCAAAAGCTTTGACAGTAGTGAATCTAGTGATACTAACTTTACCAAAGAAAAGGCTGAAGGTGGTTACTTAAACAAATACTAAAAACATCACTAGTGGAGGTATGTCAATTTAAATATCTGTAATGTTTCAGTTTTGTGTAATTACCAAATTAAGCGATCAACCTATTATTCATAGGTCAAACTAATGAACACATCACGATCTATAATCGACATGTCTTGTAGGAAAATCCTTGCTTCTAAATTCCACTGAATTAATAAGAATTACAAAACCAATAACTTATAGAATTATTGTTGTTTAGAACACCAAGAGAACATATTTAATATCAAGATCTTTAGACTAGAACAATATAAGATCAAGAAAGTTTTGTGATTAATATGCCTTTGTATATCTTATGTAGCTTAAATATCTATGGAATTTGATCTATGTTGTGGTGGAAGAAGAAAACGTAACAAGAATTTAGTGGGTCTCGTCGCCCAAGTCCATTAAAGGTATAGTTGGTTTATTATATTATTGGCCAAGTCTCACAAATCTTTACCTATTAGGCACAGTAACCCAAATCAACTTCATTTACCGAAAACAGCCTTATCAGTTTCTGCATTTTTGACATACACACATAGATCTTTGATGCTTATGTCGAATAACTTATCTTTTATGTACCTATCAAACCGTTGATTCCTCAATCTAGGAGATTGCTTTAGTCCACGAAGAATTTGAGATGAATGAAAACATCTCTTCTAGACGTTAAGACTGCTTTCATACCTGTCAAACAGTTGATTTCTCAGGTATTCGGATTCTATATCTCTAAGCTTTAGGTTATTTTGGTAAATCCTCTTTATATTTTATGGTATTATATATATATATATATATATATGTAAATAAAATTATATAATATACAAATCAAATACATATATAAGAAAATGACTAAAATAGACCTAAAAAGTTTTTATCACAAATATAGATCTTAACACTTAAAATGACCAAAATCACTTAAATGTTTTATTAAATATACATTCCTAAACTTTTTTTGTTTAGAGTTGAGGAGTGGAGTTTTGGAGATAGGGTTTCGAATTAAAAAAAAATTAAAAAAAACTTAAAATTTTCAAAATAAAAAATGCTATTTTGGTCATTTTAATTTTTGAGGTCTATTTTTGTAATACAAACTTAAAAAAGAACTATTTGAGAGAATTACCCTACATATATTTTGATATTTAAAACCTAACTATCCGAACTCAGTTTTGGAACTTCATATATATTATTGAACTAAATTGAAATGGATCCTGGATCAGGCTATGGATCTCATATACTTTTCCCACATCTATGCGAAAGTCATTGTAGTATCATAATCTAGAATCAAATATTCATAGTGTACATTATATTACTGATAAAAAATTTCGCTTTATTAATATTTATCATCCAAAGAAACTTATGGAAGAGTAGAAATACTTTAGTATTTCAACAAAAGCATATTCAGTGGAGGAGGTTATTGAGATATGCAAAGGAAGATGCGAGAGAGTGGAGAAATATGGGGAAAGAAGAGGATGTAATACATACACAAATAAAGCCTAATGGTGTCTCGACCACAAATTGGGAAAGACCTCCACAAGGATGGATTAAGTGTAACACAGATGGGTCATTTAATCAAGCAGAAATACCGAGTACGGCAGGATGGGTGTTGCGTGATGAACAAGGGTACTATCATGGGTCAGCACAAGCAAGAGGAAGAAAAGTCCAAGATGCTCTAGAGAGTGAACTACAAGCAATACTAATGGCTTTGCAACATTGTTGGAGCTTAGGACATCGTCAAGTAATCATAGAAAGTGATTGCCAAAAAGCAATAGACTTTCTAAACAATCGGAAGCTTCACTTTGGACATTATAATTGGATTAGAGATATTCAATGGTGGGGAAGATGCTTCCAGGGTATAAAGTTTCAATGGATACATAGAAGGTCAAATAAAGTGGCCGATTTATTAGCTAAGAAGATTCCAATTAACACTATATTTCAATTTTATTACTATGTACCCTTGTTTGTAAATGATCCATTACATATGGATTATACTCTTTCATGTTAAAGTAATAAAATAGACGTATAAAAAAAAAAACTTATAAATATAATTTGGTAATTTTATACTAGTTTCATTTCCCATTTAGGTATATGGAAAACAAATTTTTATTATCGTTTTCACAATCTTGAAATTCGTAATTTGTTCTCTTCGATCTGGATATGTATTATAGTTTATTCAGATAAAGAAAAAGTCGAACTGGATTAATTTGTTTTTTCAGATTGGCTCAAAAACTGAGTAAAATATAATATATGTGAAATATGCATGAAAGTTTCTTTGGGTGTAAATGTTAAAAACAAACATGAAAGCTGCGTAAATGTACTTGATATGTACGTACTTGAGTCGTTCTCCTGTCTCATGTGTTTGTTTCGTGAGTAATAACTAAACACATGTTTAAGCTTTTTTGAGAAACACAGATGTTTAGGTTATAAACTTGGTACTTTCCGAAATAGCCCTGAAGTTGTGTCAACCAATACAAATGACTCAAATAGACTATACATATTTGTTTATTCCTTGAAGAGATTGTCGACTCTTCCTTTTTTTCTTCTCTCTCTCTTCTCTTTTTCCTGACTCCTTCTTCTTCTTCCTTTGGTCTTGCTAAGATCTAGAAAACCCTAGAACGGTAAGGTCGCCAAGATCCAGAGAAGATCAAGATAGGGTTAAAATTGATGGGGAGAGGGAAGATTGTGATCCAGAGGATCGATGATTCAACGAGTAGGCAAGTCACTTTCTCCAAAAGAAGAAAGGGTTTGATTAAGAAAGCTAAAGAACTCGCTATTCTCTGCGACGCAGAGGTGGGTCTCATCATTTTCTCCAATACCAACAAGCTCTATGACTTTGCCAGCTCCAGGTTTCTATTTTCCTTGTTGAATCCCTAGATCTTTTTCAAAACTATAAACAAAGATATATATGGATATATGAGTGCCTCTATTAATACACGAAAGTATATATATATAGCTGTGAGATATGCTCATTTGTTGTGTACTATTTTGTGCATCTGCATCTTGCTCATTCCAGTATATACGAGGTGGTGTATATATCCTAAGGAAAGCAAAAATAAAAAACTGACTATAGAAGCTTACTAGTTTAATAGATGATGAAGCTAATTTCAAGGATACTCATGGTTTTTTTGTGTGTGTGAACATATGTGCCATTGTGTTTATCTATATCGCTTGACATATGTATACATATATTTGTGTGTAAGAGTGTTCTTTTGCTTACATCGGTTACATCTGGAGTGACTAAGCCAAATTTAGAAACATCTGGGAAGTATACATCCATATATACTCAAAGCTAAAAACAAGTACAATGTTGAAAAAGTAAAAGTGATTAAAGGGAGTGTACGAGATAATCACCATAAAGTGGTGAGTTTTTACTCACAAACTTGTATTTATAATATATTAGTTTGACAGAAAGGATCAGATGTCTCTGTTTTAACTATATTACCACTGTACCAATATAATTCATCATTTTTATTCTCTATTTTTGGACTATATATATTCTAAATTTAACCTATATATCATCGTACATCTATATATCATAGAAAATAGCTTTATCAATGATTTTGAGTTTACTATAGGTATTACCGGAAAAACAATTATAATGGGATTCGCCAATATGTGATATTGACCTAGCTAGACACTAGAGACAAAGTTTTGAAACTATATATATTGGACTTCCAAATGTGAATACTTCATATTCATTTTGAAGGTAATTTTTTCTAATATGTTAAAAATACTTTCTATTAATATATGTGACGTATAAATCATGGCGAATTCCATTTATGAATGAGATATGCCTGATGTGTATTATTTTTGTCTTACGTGATAACAAGCTTTATAAAAATTGTGAAATATCCATAAGGAAGTGAGGGTTTTTTTTGGTTTCCTTTCATAAGAAAATAGAACTATATATATATTGTTTGTCCGCAAGGAAAAAAACCTATAATTTCCAAATACTGAATGAACAGTATGAAATCGGCTATTGAACGATTCAACAAGACCAAGATGGAGGAGCAGCAACTGTTGAACCCTGCATCAGAAGTTATGGTACGTATACTATACTTAAGTCGCACAACACAAGAGGAGACAATTATACTATTACTAATAAAGATCTTAATCATGTTTGTGTTATCAACCTTGATTCGAGAGTTAACAGGTTGTTTATGTTGCGTGTTGTAGTTTTGGCAGAGCGAGGCCACAATTCTAAGGCAAGAACTGCACTCATTGCAGGAAGCTCATCGGTATGCATACGTACTTGTCTTTTAAATTGTGATCAGTAGTTACGGGTTTTAGGCTGCAAATAACTAGTATTTTGTGGATTAGCTCATGTCCCTTTTGTACACTAGCATTGGTCTTTACTCACTTTTCCCTATGTGGCTATCAACAAAAACTCCCCTCTCTTTTTATAGATCTATTCGGCTAAAAGTTTTCGTATCTAGCATGTCTAATGGCTTGTTCTTCTATCCACCACCTTTTCTGGTGAAAATATTTTTACATTTTGAAGAATATCCAACTATATAAATTATATATGATATATAACGACAAGGGTCTTGTCCCAAATGTTTATATGTATATTTATGACGACTGTGCGAACATGTAATTACGGGAAAGAGAAATCTATACATGCATATAAGTCACAATAAACTTTTTGTAATGTAGCAGACAACTAACGGGGCAGCAATTAAATGGTCTGAGCGTTAAGGAATTGAACAATATCGAAAGCCAACTTGAAATGAGTTTACGTGGAATTCGTATGAAAAAGGTATTAATCTCTCTCTATATGTACATTTATGTTTACTCTAACTCGTTTTCTTGGAATGTGGTGTTCAAATTTTGATGATAGACTTTCCACACAAAAAGATCGATCTTAAAGCATCTCCAATGTAACACCATTCACTACTTCAAAATAGAATAAAAGTGATTATAAAATAAAAATGCTTCAATCTCATTTATTTCTAATTCTATAATAGTGTAATGAACAAATAAAAAATAGATTACTCAATTTATAAAATAAATCACATTATGGAGAGAGAAATAAAGTGAAGTTGAAGCATTCTTTACTTTATAATCATTTTATTCTATTTTGAAGTAAAATATAGAATTGGATTGGAGATGTCCTTAGAATAATGAAATTCGCTTTTTTTTTTCGAACCTTGCAGGAACAAATATTGACCAATGAAATTAAAGAACTCACCAGAAAGGTCAGTAGTAAATGATATATATATATATATATATATATATAAATAGGTGAATTAACAATCAAACTGTAATTGTGTTTACATGTTAACAGTACGAGATCATTTTGTTCTTTAATAATAAAAATGTTTTTAACAAACAGAAAACTCAAATGTGATCATGCAAACATTTTTTCTTTTTTGTTTGTTGTGAAAAATTTCTAATTGTGTATAGACAACAAAAATTCTTAGTACAACTACAACATTTCCATTCATTTCCATTTGTGGTATATGGAAATGTTTTAAACAATTGATTAGACTATATATGTTATTAAAATGCACCTATATTTGTTGGTACATATCCAAAAAAAATCTATGATTAAGCAAGCTTGAACAAGAATAGTGGAAAGATGTGAGATCTATAGGGAAGTGATCGCGTTATTGTGTTAATGAGGCTAAAGTAGAGGGAAAAGTCTTTTAGTTTAGTGATAACAAGGTTAGTAAACAAAACTTTCTGAGCCTACGAAAAATTAACATACCGCCTGTCGCATAGAAAGGGCACACTGGCCGAGTGAGTGGACGTGAGAGGTCCAATACCAGTGGGCGGTCGGAACGTTAAGTGGTATCATAGCTAACACAAACGAGTGTGGAGTAATGTGTGGACTTACACTAATATGGGTAAAGATCTTGGAACACAATAAGAACGTTTTGCGTTCTATGAGAGAGAGTGAATATTAACATCTCAGTTTGTGGTATATGGAAAAACTTAAAATAATTGATTTAAGTAGCTATATCACCGAAATGCACTTACCTTTTCTAACATAATATAGAAAAAATTCCACATTAAACATGTTTGAGCTAAAGTAGTGGAAGAAGAGGACCTATTGGGAAGTGGTTATTGTGCGAGTGAAGCTAAAGTACATAAAAAGTCATATGATATGATGATTACATAGTCACTAAACAAAACTTTTAAGCCTCCAAAAATTAACACACTGCATCACACGTAATGAGACCCATAGACCGATTGAACGGACGTGGATGACTCATTGACCGTGGACGATTGGAGAGTTACAAGAAACCCATTCTCTAGGCAATCAAGGCGTTACAACAACTTTCTTTTTTTCAATTCGTTTTTGCGTTTACAATTTAAATATTTTGTTTCATACAAAAAGAAACTAAATATGTTGTGTCTAGCTAGGTATGAGTGTAGATAAAATCCATTCACGCATGTAAACACATATACAATGTAACACATGATCTATGTTCTCATTTCTAGTTTTTCTGGTTCTTATATGTTATTGTTTCATGTTCTGCAGAGGAATCTGGTTCATCATGAGAATCTTGAATTGTCGAGAAAAGTACAAAGGATTCATCAAGAAAACGTCGAGTTACACAAGAAGGTAGAATAAAGCTACAAGCTTCATTGGCTACAAGCTTCATTGGCTACTTTGCGTTGAAAATTATAAATCATATAATTCAAAATACAAAAGTGGTATTGTGGCAATTGATGGTCTTGCAGGCTTATGCAGTGTCAAACAGAAATGAATTGGGAGTTCGTGATACATCCGATGAATCCCATGCACAGGTTCGGCTGCAACTAAGTCTGCCTGAGCAATCCCATAATGAGACCTCATCAAATAGCTAAGATCATAAAGCCTATAGAGACTTGTTTGTTCTTGATTCTCAACACTCTTTAAACTTATATAGCTCGTTTAATTATATATATATATATATATATACTTAAGGGTGTATTCATGCAGGAAAAGTTTGAGAATATCTCATGTGGAAGAACAAAACGAAAGGTTTGATATTGTATGATACATAAATATATAGTCTCAAGGGAAAACAATAATAGAGCATGTCGATTGTATATTTTTTAAGCTTTCTCAATTGGTTTGACGTGTATAAATAAGACATATATATGTAAACACTTATAGTTAGATAGGGTGTTCAATTTGAGTTTTCTGTCTGCTTGCAGTTTAAACCTGTTCATCTTTTAGTTTTCAAAGTATAAACTATTACTTAAGCGTCCTTATTGCAGTTCAACTTGTTTTCCGTTGATTTTGTTTTTCAGTTTAAGATTTGATTTGGTTTAAAATACTTCACCTAGGGTTCAATTTATATTTTCTTTATAACCCCTAATTTAGTTGAGCCTGGTCCAAATAGAAGAAGAATACCCAAAACAGTTCTCAACAATCAGGTTTGAGAAGTAAATTAATTTCTGAAGTCCAAATTACAAAACTGATGGTTGGGAACTGCTTAGACACTAGTGCATATACGTAAATGGAATAAAGCAATGTTTGTGAAATTATATGCGCATATACTCCCATAGTCCACTCGACTTATGACTTATCTTCATTCCAAAGACTTGAATATCGGTTGAAATAGTTTTTTTTTTTTTTATTATTGTTGTAATAGTATAGATTTTGTACGAAGAAGAACCAAGAATTGCTCAATCTTTTATTTGATAGTGACAATTGAATAGAATCCAGAAGATTGTACGCAAAAAAATAATCAAACCAAACCCGCCCACCAAATGGTAATTATAGTTTGACCCCTTTAGTTTCTCTTTCTTTCATAAAACACCCGTTTCTACTTTCTCGTTCTTTTTTATAACACTGATACGTAAAAGTATTCAAGACAGTACAAGATAATAGAGACTTATAAGAGAAAAAAGGGGATGTCAGTAGACATCAAAATAAAAGGAGATAGAACTTCACCCAACCGTTAATAGCTGAGCCTCCAAAGCGAGCAGGTGGTGTAACCAAACGGGAGCCTGGCTGGCGATGTAAGACTGGTGGCGGTGATCGCGAGTGACACTTATTGCAATAGCGTCAGCAGCTTCATTCCGTTCTGGGAGTGCGTGATCTAGACTCCAGTGAGCAATCCTGGACAGCAGAAAGGTGATATTGTGGCGAACATGGCTGAGGCTGAAAAGGTCATTCGGATTAACGAATGCGTCATGGAGGTCGTCGGAAGAAGTCTCAAAAATAACATTCGAGAAATGCAAATTGTGGATGCATTCCACTGCCCAGAAAAGAGACCATAGATCAGCCTCCATTTTTGTGCGCATATAAGAATAAGCACGACGACTATGCATGATTGTACATCCATTTTCATCTCGTAGAATCCAAGAAGCACCACTAAGGCATTGCGTACTTAACCATGAAGATCCAACATTACATTTTGAGGAAACCATGGGGGGGTCTTCTCCATCGAATCGTTGCTGGAGAAACATCATCTCCAATCACTTTTTCGGTGAATGTATCAAACCATGTTGATTCCTCTTCATAGGCTTTCTTAGCAATAAAAGAAGGCTCAATATCTCTGTCTTGAAAAACAAAATTATTCATTGCTTTCCAGATTTCCCATAATACCCATGGAAAAACATTTCTTGTATGGACATCCATTGCTGTGTTTTTGGCACTCTTAATGAGATGAACAAAATTTAGAAATGTTGAATTCCGAGAAAAGCCATTTAAAGGTATTGGGAAGTTAGATTGCTGCCATGTTGTGCTAGTCTTCGTACATGTAAAAAGAACATGACATATACTCTCTGCCTCATTACCACAAACCGAACATGTTTGATCTATCGGGATACCCCGAGTAGCCAAACGCTGTTTAACCGCTAGAGCACCAGATAAAGCCCGCCACATAAAGTGTTTTATTTTTGGTGGGGCTTTAACTTTCCATACCTCCTTCCATAATTGTTTCTCAATAGGAGTGAGGGAATGACCTGATGGATGTTCATATTCAACCAAAGCTTCTAAGAACTTGTATCCACTCCTAGTCGAATAGGAACCACTCGTTGTGAAACCCCATCTAATTGTATCATCAAGTATCAATGATGGTTTCAAAAGTAAAATCCGTTGAACATCCTCTGTCGTAAAAGTTTGATGTAATAAAGTGGTATTCCATTGATTCGAGCCCGGAATCAAGAGATCGGAAACTTTTAGCGATAAATTTATGGAACTATTTTCCCGGTACATTGGTGGCCGAGGAATGGTATCGATAATCCAGTTTTCCGCCCAAACATTGGTGTCAACCCCATTTCCAATATGTTGATATAAACCTTTTTTTAGTAATTCTCTACCATACATAATGCTTCTCCAAGCATATGATGGTCGTGTTCCCATACCGCACTCCAGAAAATTTCCATTTTTGAAGTATTTGCCTATAAGAATGCGCGAAACCAAAGAATCAGGATTATTCCAAATTCGCCAAGCTTGTTTTCCAAGTAATGCCTGATTGAAACGACCAATGTCATGAAACCCAAGACCCCCCTGTTCTTTTGGTTTACACATTTTTTCCCAAGCCACCCAGGGGATCTTCCTTTTTTTATCCCCACTACTCTACCAAAATTCAATGATCGCACTCGTAAGTCGTTCACAGAGACCTTTTGGTAGTCGAAATACTGACATTGCATATATTGGGAGGGCTAAAGCAACCGATTTTATTAAAACTTCCTTAGCTCCCATAGATAAAGTTTTGGAATACCAATCTTGTAATCTGCCCTCTAATTTCTCTTTGATAAAATTTAACAGATCTTTTTTTGATCCCTGAAAGCATTCAGGGAGGCCAAGATATGAACCTTCCCCTCCTTCCTTGTCGATGCCCAAAACTCTCCTTATATCATGTTTTGTATTATCGGTTACGCTTTTCCCAAAAATGATAGAAGACTTGAGAGGATTAATCATTTGTCCAGAAGCCGCCCCATAAAGTTCCAAACAATTCAGAATTTCTACACTATCCTTGATAGAGGCTTCACATAATAGCAAGCTATCATCCGCAAATAATAAATGATGAACAGAAGGACTATCTTTAGCTAACTTTATACCCTGTAACTTCCCCTGTGCTTCAGCTCTGTTCAACACATGTACTAAGGCTTCAGCACATAGGATAAATAAAAAAGGCGATAATGGATCCCCCTGACGTATTCCTCTTTCAGGTTTAATAAATCCATGAGATCTTCCATTTAGTAACACTGAAAAGGTAACAGTGGAAATACATGACATAATCCAGACGACCCATTTCCGATCAAATCCCATTTTTTCAAGTAGAACTTCTAGAAAATTCCATTTAACCCGATCATAGGCTTTGGACATATCTGTCTTAATAGCCATACTCTCCCTACCAATTTTGTCATTAGTGCGCAGACCATGTACTAGCTCATGTGCTATAATGACGTTGTCCGTAATTAGTCTGCCACCAACAAAATCCCCTTGAGTTTCCGAAATTATGTTAGGTAAAATTACTTTCAATCGGTCGCAGAGAATACGAGAAATGATTTTGTATTGTACCGAACATAAACTAATGGGACGCATATCCTTCATCTCTGTAGGGTGTAGAATTTTTGGTAACAGAAATAATTGTGTATGATTCCATCCCTCAGGAAGAATAGCTGTTTTAAAGAAACTTTGAACATCATCAATAATCTTCTGTCCGACAATATGCCAATATTTATGGTAGAAATAACCAGTAAGTCCATCCTCTCCAGGGGCGCTGCTACTTTTAATCCCAAATGCTGCTTTTTTTATTTCATCAGGAGATACCTCTCTGGTTAACAAGATGTTCATCTCTGAGGTGACCCTAGTATCAAAACCCTCAAACAAAGTTTCCAAATCCCTTGGGTTGGAGCTAGTAAACAAATCTCTAAAATATTCAGTAGCAATATGACCCTTTGACCCTTCAGAATAGTGTTCATTTCCAAAAATATCTTTAAGCATTAAAATTTTATTTCTCATTTTTTTCCCTTTAACCACATTATGGAAATACGTAGTATTTCTATCCCCTTCCCGTAACCATTCTTCTCTACTTTTTTGTCTCCAGAAGATTTCTTCTTCCCTAAAGGCCGTAGCCAATTCCTGTCTTAACCTCCGTACCAGACTATAGATGGGAAACTGCTTTGAGCTTTCTTTGTCCAGATCAATTTGTAGCCGTTCTATTCTTGATTTTGAATTCCAATCATTGGTCCTTTTAAGCTTGGACAATTCTGATCGACACCGGGCAATACGATCTAAGACACTGAGGTTGGAGTTAATATTCTCCGCATCCCATCCCCGATTAATGGCCTCCTCTACCCCTCTCTTACCAAACATACGTTTATCGAAATAAAATCGTCCTCTATGCAAATTTTCAGGCTCGAGTGCAAACTCTATGCGTAGAGGTCGATGATCAGAAGGCCACATACTCATATAGTCAGTAGACGATTGTGGAAATAGTCTAAACCATTCACCATTGCCAAAAATCCTATCCAGTCGACATTGAACCCAATTGTGATCCCTCATACCTGCCCATGACAAAATATTGCCGGTACTTCTCATCTCCCTGATTTTACAAGCTTCAGCCATATTCCGAAAATCAAAGAAAGTATTTTCTTCTCTAATAACACCTCCTAGTTTTTCACCATTATGCATTAGCTCATTAAAATCTCCAACCAAAAGCCATGCATCATCTCTTGTCACACCTATATCCGTTAATTGATCCCAAACAAATTGTCTCCTTGCTCTTACCGGATCTCCATATACACATGAGAGAAAAAATTGAATGGATCCCATTGTGACTTTCAGATCAATAATTCTATTATTACTATCTAAAATTTCAACCGAGTAACATCCTTTCCACATTAAAGCTAAGCCACCACTACGCCCAATAGGTTCCACCGTGTGTAAGAAGTCATATCCCAAACTAGTTTTTAAAACATCCATGTAAGCTAGTTTTTGCTTAGTCTCCATAAGAAACATAAAGTCCGGAAAAAATTGACGTCGTAAATCTCGAATACGTTGAACCGTATCCGAACCTCCCGCACCCCTACAATTCCAACTCAAAATACTCATAGAACCGTAAATTGTTGTGTGGCGTCACAGGGAAAGAACCCAAAGTAATTTGGTTAAAGGAGACCAAATTAATTATACCGCACTTACACCACAGCCGGACTTGACTTATTCCTGTTAGAGCCAAAAAAACCAAAATAATATGGTCCCAAGAGACCAACGTAGCAATCCGAAACAAATATTGTAACCCCATATAATTCCTCTCTGATTTAAACAATGTTAATTCCAACCACTCCATACATGAAAAAATTAAAATAAAAAAACACAGAACAAAGATATTATGCTTTGTTTCAACGTCAATGTGTCCCTGGCAGAAATTAAATTAATATGAACAACCCGAACCGGAAATGTAACAGACCCTTGCTGTCGAGAGTCAACCAATAGTAGGATCTTATCATTCTCTAAGACAAAAGTCTTATTAGTATACATCAGAAACAAAAATATTATTCTGTGTTGCATTTCAGATGTGTCCTTGACTAAATCTAAAGAACTATAAAAATCCCGAGCAGGAAGAAGTCCAGACCCTTGCTGCTGAGAAAAAACCAAGATTAAAAGAAAACCAGCTTCCCGTTGACCACCTTTATCAATCATCAAACTAGTATCATTATTCAAGAAAACCTCCTTATTAATGCATATCACAAGATAATACGTGAAACTTAGAAATTGAAACCAAAGTCCAATACACGTATCTAGCGATACCGTCATAGGCACTTCCTTTGTCCAAAGTATCCAACGAACACCAAACATCCAGTCACAAAAATAAACCGCACATATCAAATCATCACACCAACCATGAGCTAATCCGAGATTTAACCAAAACCTTCTTATGAACCTCTTCTTTAACTCAAAAAAGTCATAACCTTGAGCTTTCATACCTAAATCCATCATCCCAGGAACCATATAAAAAGTCATTACAAGAAACCACCACCAAAGCAATTTAGAGGTAGCTAAAAGAAAAACACTTTGCATCACCTCATAGTCATATATAAGAAATCAAGAACCGTTACAGCACCTAGAAAGCAACTCAGACATTATTATTTTGCACGCATCAAATGTCTTGGGCAAAAACGCCATTGAGCTTTTGAAAATATCCAAACTGCAGCGGTAAAGAACTACAAGCCTTCCTTGTATCATCGTATCAAACAGAATAAGAGCTAAAGACTCAGAGAAAAAGTGAAGAAAAAACGGTAAGAAAGGGATGACTATAGGCGGTCCCAAGCTCCTCTTTTTATACATGTATATGTATCTTGCCCTCCAATCCTTGTTACAACTCAAGCATTTAACTCCATAATCGATTCTCCATAGACCCAAGTAGAGAATAATCCCATTTACTATCCAAACAATCCCAAGAAATCCTTTCCCTATACCATTTCTTAGACGTATCACCAAAGATCCTACACTGCGATGATTATCCTGATCCCTTATCACAGGAGGAATCTTCCTACCACATGAATTTTCAAAATCTATACTACCAGTAATAACCCGATCTACAGCTTGCCTCAATAGATATATCCCATCGAATCGTGGATATTGTTGATCCTCTGGTATCTCTAAATTCTCTGAACCAGTAACCAAGACCTTCTCTTTCCAAAGGTATAAACCCAAGTTATACCCTTTTATTACCGAAATCACCAGATCCATCGATCGGATCTTCCTTGGAACCTCCACGGAATCATATCTCCCTTGAAACACAATCTGCCCCCAAGCCTTGTCCGCAGAGGAGAACCCATCTCGATCCTCCAGATAACGCTCCGGAGCCTCAAATCTTCGTAGATTCAAGCACATCTTAGAAGCTAGGTCTCGTCTTCCTTATCCCGTCGCCATCGCTCTTATTCATCTCTGCAAAGCGAGTTAGGTTCTTTTTTAACAGGACTTTAACTTAAATTTACTTACTTTCTCGTTTCTAATCATTTTTCCGGAGCTGAATAGAATAAAAAAGCTGCAGAAACTGAAATCTGTGAGTTGTGGAAACTGTTAATGGCGAAAGCAAGAGGAGGAATCACGAACGCAGTAAACGTAGGAATCGCTGTGCAAGCAGATTGGGAGAATCGTGAGTTCATCTCCCACATCTCTCTCAATGTTCGTCGTCTCTTCGAGTTCCTCCTCCAATTCGGTAACTTTCTTTGGTTTTGATTTGTTCAATTTTGCTAAATTTAGAAACTTTTTAGGGGTTTTTTGTCAAAGAAGGATTGATTTGGTGTGATGGGTTTGATGAAAGGTTGTATCTTTTTTAAGATTTTCATTTGCATTTGGTTCGGATTCATCTTGTGATTCTTTTTCACTTTCGTTTTCTTACATCTTTGTCTGGTTTTAAACAATGCTTGTGTGTGTGTTTGTTTTCAGAGTCGACCACAAAGAGCAAATTGGCATCATTGAATGAGAAGTTGGATCTTCTGGAAGGTCGCTTGGAAATGCTTGAGGTGCAAGTTAGTACCGCCACAGTTAATCCTTCCCTCTTCGCTACCTGAAACCACATATTGATATCGCAACGGAGTCTGAGCCTTTCTTGGCTTAATTAGAAGAAATGATTCTTTTATCTCTTTTTCCACACATGTAGTTTATCTATAAAAGTCCACAATATGAATACAATCCATCTCTTGAACTCTGTATCATTTCTCTGCCTCAAATGTTTATGTAATCATTTCATTATGCCACCACAAGTTCCAGAGGTGGTAGTTATTGTGTCTTTTCTCCTATTCGAGGGGCCCCTATAAACATATGCTTTGCATCTTTGTCACTAAAAGAGTTAAGTCTCTCCAGTTATTACACAACTCTCTGTTGAGAAGTGGTTGGAGTTGACACCCAGTAAAGGTAGTAAAACAGATTCAAAACCCATAAGCCTACGAGTTGCTGTCTCGTTTACTCCACCAAACACGCTTTCCATCTGTTTTACACATGGTTCTGTCGAGACCTGTTAGGAATTCTCGATCGTTAGATTGCTTAATTCTATAACACAGAGAATTTGATCACCGAGTTCCCGGCCTCTAGCGCGGTACGTCTCGGGTGGAAACCGTCTCCCACAACATCCACTATCAATCAAAGGGTTTTACACAAACGCTCTAAGCGCTCAATAGGAAGACACAACAAAGAATAAGAGAGATCAAAGAAACTCTATCCCGAAGCGACATGACTCGAACAATGTATCTTGCCTCTAGTTTCTTCTAACCCTAATCTCTCTCTAGCTCTCTTCTTTTTGGTCTTGTGTTTCGGATGCCCTAAGAAGATCACGTCCTTCCTCTATTTATAATCATGTGCCTTCATAATTCCATTAGGATTTCCTTTTCCAATAGGCTTTACCGACCTTAACGTTTCTTGCAAGAAAAGGAAATATAGCATGCAAATACTTGCTGGATCTGTCTTGTCTTGGACTTGAATTAATTAGATTTGGGCCTATTTTCAATAATCTCCACCTTAGGCCCAATATCTTCATCAACAATTAATTCCAGTCTCTCGAGGGATCACTCCGACGTTCTCCGACGAACTAACTCCTTTCCAATTCGACTCATCAACTTCTCAGGCGATATTCCAGCCAACGCCAGCAAAATCCGGCGGCTACCGCTGATGAATCCATCACCGTTCGTGTCTAATCATAGTTTTCGAACCATGAGTCCCATCTCCTTTCTCGGACAAAACCTGCAAATTGCATCAGTGATAACACCGGTGATCACTTCACCATCTATCTCAAGGGAAAGAATCTCCATCTTAGGCTGAGAAAGCTTAAGCTCGGTGCTTCTCCATGTATTCCTTGCGACTTCCATGGCGTTGAACTCCTATTTCGTCTCTTCTCTTGATGACAAATTGTTGACAACCTCCATAGCAAGTGACTCCACCTTGGGCTTATAAGCTTGAGAGAGTTCGCGACTCTCCCTCATGCTTACTTTCCCAATGGTGAAGATTGCAACCTGATTCCAGATCCTTCATCATCCTCCAGCAGCTTCTCCGACGATTTCTCAATGCCAAACCTAGGTACTTTTGAGCTCTATCTCCTCCGTCAATACGTTATATTGACATATTGACTTAAAGCTCTAACCCCTTTGATGCTTCCTTTGATAGTGAACATAACCTGATGCAACTTTCAACTCAAGTCTTTGCATTCTCCAGCATCTCCTTAGTTTTGCCGACCTCTTTTCAGCTTCTCCGGCGTACCATCTTGCCTCCTTAGCTGACTTATTCCTGGTAATGAAAGTTGGACGAAATTCTCCATTAACAATCTTACCCTATGGTCATCTTCTCTGACCATCCGCCACATCCTTTGGCATCAATTTCCGACGCCACTAGCTCAAGTAATCTCAGGTAATATCAAGCTCCTCTTCATATTTTAGTTTGTTCTTGCTTCCATGAGATTCCTCCTGCGACAGTCTTGATGAATATCCTTCCTACCAGTTTTAGCCCTTTATAGAGTCTTCGATGATCAGTCGAAGTTTCTGTGTTGCCAAACAATCGTAGACCTCGTCGCAGCATGAACACCAAGCATGTGTTCTCCTCTTTGATGATCTTAGGTAAACTGTTTTATTACCTGCATCATATCTGTAATTTTTCCTTTTCCAGAACCATAACTTAGACTCGAAATCCTTACAGATTTCCGAGACGAGCTCCATCTTCAACAGTGCTCCTTTCTCTCACTGCTCCAGCTATTGTTCATGACCATTTGCTGTTTCTTTGATATCGTCTTCTCCGGAGTACTCCTCTGATATCGATTCTTTTTCAAGCCAGCCGCTTTTGATGAACAATACAGCTCCTCTCTTGCTCCTTGAGACTTTAAGGTAACTCATTTACCCTTGCAGGACTTCTTTACTTTATTTCTTTTGATTCAAGAACATTCACCAAAGAACTAACTTGTCTTCTCTTGAATCTTTCTTTCAATAGCTCCACCTGGAATCAATGTGTCTACACCACGACTACTGATTTCTATCAGGTGACTTTCTCATTAACCAATATGAGACTTCACTGACAACTTTCCAGAAACCAACTTGTTTCTCTTTCATCCTTCCTGCAACCAGATTCATCTTCTTAACCTTTGATTCCTCTCATGCACGCTGAACTTAGAATCAAACACTTCCTTGAATCTGTTGCATTAAACAATATATTTTGGATTCCTCTGTGTGCCGCTGTTATCCCAAACAGAACACGCCATCAAGCTAACTTGCTAGATAGACTTTCGACACAAACCCCAGTCCAAACTTCTTTTTCTTTTCACTTGTCTCACGCCAATTGCTCCCGTGACGTTCTTGACACTTCTCTTTGTAACAGCTCTCCTTGATATCACTTCTAGACCCCATGATACCATCCTTAGCTGAATAACCCTTCCATGCAATATCTGTTGCATGTATTACTTCACCAACTCTTCGGTGCCAGCATCACCACATGCTTTGGACCTATCATCAGAACTCCTTCTGATCCATCAGTGTGCTTCTTCATGCCAATTCAATCCCCTTTTGTCCTCCTTAGAGAATTTCTAGTTCTCTTCTTGTGATGCCAAAAGAGAACAAGTACAACTATACTTGTCTCTTACTCTCCACGTAATATATCCATGTACTCATCCTCCTTACTTGGATGCCTTCTGATTTTAAAACACAGCTCCTCGTGTTTTCTTTTGTATTCATTCCCTTTTAGAATCTTGCTTTCTTCTATCTTGGAGCCTTCCTCACGATCTGAAATTGATAACTTAGACTAATACACCTTTAGTCTCAACCTCAATACTTGACGTCACAAAACTTTGACATCCCCTCCAGCAATGCGAACATATACATGTCTTGTACCACTGTTTATGATAAACAGGACACGCCGTCTAACTCCCGTGTTAGAAAGACTATCGATACAAAACCCATTGTATATTTCATTGCGAGATAACTTGAGCACTAATCAACCAGAACATGCAGTCTCCTACGCCTTGCAAGATATCTTCTGAAATATAGCTCCTTGATGATCTTCCTTGAATCCTTGATCATCTCCGTGACGTTTCCTGAAACACTGATGATCACGAAACACTACCATCTTTCTTAAAGCATTAACATTATCTCCACCTTGATCTAAAAATCCCTCGAAACAACTTCCTGTTTCGATAGATCCAGGAACACACTTTGTACCGCCATGAGTAATGGAACCCGCCGCCTAACTTTCACCCTTGTTCGGAAGACTTTCGACACCGACCTTGTTCAACTCCCTGGAGATGAGTATTATTGCTTCGCCACCTTGTACTTCCCTTAGCCAAAACCGTGTTGCCCTTTGATCTTTCAATCTCAAATCTTGTAAGCAATGGATTCGCCTTTTCCTCGAAAAAAAAATAAGTTCCTTTATCTTTCTTCTTTGCGAATCTGCTTAGACTCGTTATCCGCAATCAAAACCTGGCTTGCTCTGATACCACTTGTTAGGAATTCTCGATCGTTAGATTGCTTAATTCTATAACACAGAGAATTTGATCACCGAGTTCCCGGCCTCTAGCGCGGTACGTCTCGGGTGGAAACCGTCTCCCACAACATCCACTATCAATCAAAGGGTTTTACACAAACGCTCTAAGCGCTCAATAGGAAGACACAACAAAGAATAAGAGAGATCAAAGAAACTCTATCCCGAAGCGACATGACTCGAACAATGTATCTTGCATCTAGTTTCTTCTAACCCTAATCTCTCTCTAGCTCTCTTCTTTTTGGTCTTGTGTTTCGGATGCCCTAAGAAGATCACGTCCTTCCTCTATTTATAATCATGTGCCTTCATAATTCCATTAGGATTTCCTTTTCCAATAGGCTTTACCGACCTTAACGTTTCTTGCAAGAAAAGGAAATATAGCATGCAAATACTTGCTGGATCTGTCTTGTCTTGGACTTGAATTAATTAGATTTGGGCCTATTTTCAATAAGACCATCTGTTTTGGTGGCCGCTTAATAGTACCTCGTGGTGTGATTTTAGACATATTTTCCTGGTCATACCAAAAGGCACGAGGCAACAAATTGTTATGGCAACGACTAACCGTTCTTATTTTTGGAACTACTACTTTATATTCACTCTTGAGAAAATATGAGGTTGCACCAACCTGAGTATGACACTATCTCCACCAACAAATATACATACAAAGAATGATCAACATACAGTAGTTGAAATAGAAAACAAATTGCTCTTGCAAAAGGAAAATGAAGATTCTGTTAATGCATTCCAAAGTATGCATATCACTATCTCTAAATTCATTTTGAAGACAAAAATGATCTGATCAAGCGAGCAATACTTACTCCAAAGAATAAAATAGTGGACAAGGTGAATAGGTACAAATTATCATTGCGTAGACGAAGATAAAAATGAATATTTGAGTTTCAATAGCATTGGTGAAGACAAATAGGAAGTGACAAATCAACATATTCTATATCCCACCGATTTTGTTTTACTATATTGTAATTTTCAGGAATTTCATATCACAAACTAGATCTCGGTTTGCTACAAATGCTTTTTATTCAGTGAGAAAGACTTTGCAATGTTACAATTTTACTAATAACTCACATTATGTAACATGATTATTAAAGTAGAAATATTAACCAACACTTACGTAGGAAAACGGATTTCTATTTCGAGAATAAGTCTCTACATATACAAGATGATCTTTTAAACTAAAAGACATCAATTTTCTATACGCTATGCAATGGTTATCAACAAGAACAAAATCAAAGCTTAAACAAAGTTACTTTATACCTTTACATTTAACAAGTTCACTCTTTTCTCACGGATAATTATAGCTTGTACTATCAATAGTCATTATAACAGCATGACAGATTATTAGATTAGTGTTGTACAAAAAAAATTCAACGGTATATGATATACCAAGAAAGAGATAAAAATTACACTAGTGTTCAAAATAAAATAAACAAATTTGATATTTGTCTAATAACATATTTGATATTTAATAAACTACCAATAACACATTAATTGATGTCCAGCATTAAGTATTTTGAATTAGGTGTTTCGTTTGTACATATGGAGCTAAACAGTTTGTAATTAGTACTTATTAATACATGTATTATTAATTATGATTAATTATTATTATTTATGTATTCATTTGAAATTTCTGTCATAATTTTAAATTCGTTTTTTGTTTTTTAACAATTTATATATTTTATTCATTAAGGATATAAACGATATTAACCATTCTAACTTTCAATGTGAGAGTCTTGATACGGAAAATCACATCGTAAATAATAGTATATATATACTAGATGTTCTGCCCGGACATATATGCATAATAATTTAATTAACTAATGCTAAAACTTGAAATAGTAAAAAAACTATGGTGTAAAATATTATTTTTGCTAAAACAAAATAATTTTTATATAAAGATAATTATCAAAACAATAAAATATTTTTTCAATTTTCAATTAATTATATATTCACAAATCTAATTATTTTCCAAGGTTAATAATGACTTTATAATACAATAAAAATATTTTTAGGTAAAGATAATTATCAAATAACTAGATTTTGTTTTTATTTATCGTTAATTGTATATTAAAATTAATTATTAATTAAGGATAATAACATTATTAACCACTTTGAGAGCTCTGTTACAAAAAAATAATTTTCAAATAAAATATATAAAAATACTTTTAGGTAGGATAATTATCAAACAACTAGATTTCATTTTTATCTATAGTTAATTGTATATTAAAAATTGATTATTTATTAAAGATAATAACGTTATTAACCACTCTTTGACGTGAGAGTTCCGTTACGAAAAATCATTTTGAAAAAGATAATTATTAAACAATGAAATTTCTTTTTAATTATAAGTAATTATATATTCACAAATCTAATTATTTTAATAAAGGATTTATAACACAATAAAATATTTTTTAGGTAAGGATAATTATCAAGTAACTAGATTTCATTTATTTATTTATTGTTAATTGTATATTAAAATTATTTACTCATTAAAGGTAATAACGTTATTAACAACTGTTACTTTTAACGTGAGAGTTCCAATACAAAAAAAATCACTTCTCAAATAATATTATAGATTATATATTAGGCAATTCTCTCAAATATATCTTTTAAAGTTTTTGTCACAAAAATAGATCTCAAAAACTAAAATTGCCAAAATAACATTTTTTATTTTGAAAATTTTATGTTTTTTTTTCTTAAAAAAAAATTTGAAATCATATCCCTAAAACTCCACTCTTCAACTCTAAACAAAATGTCTAAGATTAGTTAACCCAAAGAGTATACGTGTATATTTACTTATTTTTTGACAAAATATTTAAGTCTATTTTGGTTATTTTTATAAGGTCTATATTTGTGACAAATTTTTTTTTATGTCTATTATAGGGAATTACTCTTATATATTTACAAATCTAATTATTTTTCAAGGTCAATAAAGAATTTATAGGAATAATCTTATTTATTCCAATAAATTTATTTTAATTTTATAATAAATTATAAGACAATTCTCTTAAATAGACATTTTTAAGTTTTTGTCGCAAAAATAAAATTCAAAAACTAAAAATGAGCAAAAGATACTTTTTTATTTTGAATTTTATAAAAAAATTCGAAATCCTATTTTTATATGTGTATTTTTGTTTTTGATAAAACGTATAAGTCTAATTTTTTTTTTATTATTAAGTTCTATATTTGTAAGAAAATGTTTTTAGGTAAATCGTAGAAAATTTATCTAAATTATATAGAAAATTATTAAGAAATGATAAATAAAAAATTATTTGAAATTATTTAAAATTGACAAATCAAAATTATTCTCAAATAGTAGTATAAAGATGCAGAGCATTAACTATGTTAAATTATTTTATTGTTAGTGTTTCTTATACATTAAAAATAATATGGAATTTTACATCCATAACCTTTCATATGTTTCAACTACCTTTCAATTAATAGGGGGCCTCAATTAATATGATTTTTGAAAATTTATTTATAAATCAAATAAAAAATATAATTACCTTAAATAAACAATTTTATTTTAAATATTAAATATGAAAAATTATTAATTAATATATATATATATATTGTAGTTCTAATTATCACCTTAGCATATCAACAAAAATAATTACAAGAAGTCGGTCTCAGGTCCAAATGTTTATTTAACCTTTTTTGTAATTAATAAATTTGGACTCTCACCGACGGTTAAAACGCGAGAGAGAGGCAGCTGGAGAGAAGAAGTCTCAATTCCACGCATTCGTTTTACCAAAAATACAAAGAAAAAGGAAACAAATCAAATTTAATTTTCAAATAATAGTATAAAGATGTAGAGAATTAAGTATTTTAAATTGTGTTATTGTTAGTGTTTCTTATATACATTAAAAGTAATATGGAATTTTACATCCATAACCTTTATATGTTTCAACTACCTACAATTAATATGATTTTTGAAAATTAATTTATAAATCAAATAAAAATTATTATTAAGCTTAAATAAATAACTTTATATTAAACATTAAATATGCACAAATCTATATCTATTAATTAATATATATATATATATATATATATACAGTATAGTTGTAATTATATACTATAATATTGAATTTAAATAATAAATCATAACTATAAATTATGATGCATGTATCACACCACCTTAGCATATCAACCAAAATAATTATAAAAGTCGGTCAGGTCCAAATGTTAATTTAACCTATTTTTTTATCTAGACTCTCGCCGACGGTTAAAACGCGAGAGAGAGGCAAGGCAGCTGGAGAGAAGAAGTCTCAATTCCACGCAATAGTTTTACCAAAAATACAAAGAAAAAAGGAAGCAAATCTTTAAAACAAAAAAAACCTAATTATTATATATTTTGCCATTTAAAAGAGAGGCATTGCGAGTGAGAAAGATTGGGGGGATATGGAAGAGATGGTGGCGCACAATAGCAATAGCCCTGTTTGTGTCTGGGTCCTTGGGTTTCTTTTGTTTTCCTTTTTATGCCTCAGAAAACCTAAAAGCCCACGAGAGAAGAGACCGCATCCCCTCTCCTCTCCTCTCCCTTTTATCTCTTCGCCGCTTCCCTCTCTTCTCGCAGATCCACACAGATCTTCGCTCTCTATCGCTTTTTTTTCTCTCAATTCGAAACCGTCAGATCTCATCGATTTTTCGTCGGATTTCATCGATTCAAGGACAGATCCAGGTAATTTTCGATCAGATCCGTTGTTTTTTATGTTTTTGGTGGATTTTTCTGGTAGAGATCACATCTGGTGATTGCTTTATATGTTTTTGAATTGGATTCGTGAGCGTTTCCTGGAAAAAAACGTGTTTATAATCGATTTTGAAGGTTTTCTTCGGTCTTTTTTTTCTGTGATGATTTACGTTCCTAATTTCGGATTCATCTATAAATTTTTGGTTCGAGTTATGTGAATCAAAGTCCGATTATTTAGCTCAGTTTTTGTTGATTTCTGATGAATAATGTTCTTAGCTTCGGATTCATCTATAATGTTCTTTTTGCATCTTTTTATCTCTGGTAGATCTGAAATCGTCTGATTTCTCTTTCATATCATAGATCTAATTTAAACATATATATCTGTAGTTATTCAATAGGTATGTTTGTGAGATAACAGATCTGGTGATTGATTAAATCCTTTTAAATTTGATTCCTAATGTTTGAAATCGATTTTGAAGTTTTTCCATGTGATGATTCATGTTCTTGACTTCTGAATCATCTAATTTTCTTTTTATTTTTTTTCCGTTAAATCTGTTAATATTTTTGGGGTCAAAGTCCGATTATTTAGCTCTATTTTTATCGATTTGTGATAACTTCTGATTCATCATGAAAATTTGTTTTTTTTAGTTTCATACTTTTTTTTAATGTCAATTTCATGTTTTAATCAATTTTTTTGTATGCAGGAGTTTGCTAATTGCTAACAAATCTTCCAGCCAAGATGCAGGGCTATGAGGAAGTAAGTTTTTGTCCTTAATGATCGGTATTAAGCTATAGATGGTACACCTCTTTAACGACATGATTGGCTATTTTAACTGCAGGACCTTGACGAGGAAGCTGGATATGACGACTATTACAGTGATGATAATGGATTGGATGAATATGAAGATTATGAAGAGGAGGAAGAAGAAGAAGCACCTCCAAAGGAAGAGTTAGAGTATCTTGAATTGCGTCAAAAGATTAAGGATGACATCAGGAAAAAATCTGCAGGTGGAAGTGTTAATGGTCAATCTTCACAAGACAGAAGAAAAAAACTCCCTTACAATGAGTATGTGGTAGCAATTAATCACCTTTTCTCTTACAAGTTATTACAACGTCTAAGGCAAGTTGTTTGTGTGTTTTTTTTGTGCAGCTTTGGTTCCTTCTTTGGTCCTTCACGGCCTGTGATATCCTCGAGGGTTATACAAGAAAGCAAATCCTTGCTAGAAAACGAGATAAAGAACTCTAACCAACCTGTATGTTGTGCTTTGGTCTTCTTTTTTTTCTCTATGTTTTATGGCTTGAACTGTATTGTTTTGGTGCTGATGGAGACTTGTTTGTGGTGTGTGCAGAAGAAAAGACCTGTTCCAGCGAGCAGTTCGGGCAATAAGAATGTGTCACATGAGAAGCGGCCTAAAGTTGTGAGTGCCATGAGAAGAAAAGTTGAGACTCTTAAGGATACAAGAGACTATTCCTTCTTGTTTTCCGATGATGCGGAGCTCCCTGCTCCGAAGAAGGAACCTTTGTCTCGAAGAGCTTCTTTTCCTAGCTCCGGTAGGTAATGTCTGCTGAAAAACTTTGTTTCCAGATTTGTTTGCATATCATTTTCATGGAGATATAACTTAATACAGGCTTTTTGGTGATGTTCAAGAGGCTCGATCTGCTCAATTATCAGCAAAGCTCAAACAGTCATCAGGTGCCAATGGTAGAGTCGCTCAAGGTCCACCTCGTGAGGAGAAGAGACCCGTTGTTTCAGCGAATGGGCATCCAAGACCAAGACCGTCTTCCTCTGGCAGCCAAATGAATCATTCAAGACCGGGTTCCTCAGGCAGCCATATGCAAAATTCAAGACCGACGAATTCATCAGGAAGCCAAATGCAGTCGAGGGCTGTCTCAGGGAGACCCACTTCCTCAGGTAGCAGCCAAATGCAGAAATCGAGACCGGTGGCTTCCTCTAGTAGCCAAATGCAGAATTCAAGACCGTCTTCCTCTGGTAACCAATTGCAGCAAAGAGCTGCATCTTCGGGAAGCCAGAGGCCTCCTTCGACAAACCGTCAAGCACCCATGAGGCCACCAGGTTCAACAATGAATGGCCAATCAGCTAACCGGAATGTCCAGCCAAGTTCCAGATCAGAACTCCAAAGATCAGCTCCTGGGAAGGTGCCGGTGGATCATAGGAGGCAGATGAGCAACATCAGCAGCAATGGAACTGGTCCTGGTCGGTCAGGGTCCACAGCGAGACCTTTACCTTCTAAGCCTTCGTTGGAGAGAAAGCCCTCCATCTCGGCGGGAAAGAGTTCTCTTCAAAGTGCTCAAAGACCGTCCTCGTCTAGACCAATGTCATCTGACCCCAGACAACGGCTGGGAGAACAGAGAAAGGTTTCTCGTGACCCTACCACATCCCCAATGATCCCAAAACAACCAGTGCCTACCTCAAGACACCAGGTATAATGATTTTTGACATTGTTTTCTTTATCTACTTTATATATATTAGCGTGGGCACTAATTTGTATATGAACTTTTACAGATGATGAGTAAACCGGCTCCCAAGAGACCTCTACAGCGTGATATGCATGATGATAGGAGGCCACTGAAGAAAAAGAAGCCTGCAATAATGTCAGAAGATGCCAAGGCATTGAGCATGATTAGACAGATGTTCAAGTACTGCTTCTAACTTTCCTCGAGACTCTCAGTTCCGTTAACATATTATTATCCTGACACTTTTGTGTTTCAATAATCTCAGTACCAATCGTTATGCTGGGCGTGACGATGATGACCGAAACATGGAAGCTAACTTTGACGACATCATGAAGGAAGAGAGACGAAGGTACAACATCTGTTTTGTTCTTGAGTTTGAATCATTTGTTTCTTGTTATATATTATAGTTCTTAACGGTTTGTGTTGGGATTTGCTCAATGCAGTGCGAGAATTGCAAGGGAGGAAGATGAAAAAGAAGCGCAGCTGATAGCACAAGAAGAAGAGCGAGAGAGACTGAGAAAGATTCGGAAGAACCGTTAAAAGTTAGAAGGAACCTTTCATCTGTCTTTTCTATATTTATGATGACTTGAGATTTTTTTCAGTAGTTCTCGCATTTGCATCTCTTTGGCCACTTGTGGCAGAAGAGTTTTAACTTTTATTTTAGTTTCTATTTTTATAATTGTACAATTAGTAATAATATTTTAGTTGGAGAAGGCGAGCTTGATTTTTTTTTTCTTTTGGTGAAACCAGAGAACGAATGAAGAAAGAAACGAGAGAAAAATAATGTCGTATAATCCAATACTGTGATTTTATTTTTTTTCAAAAAAACAATAATATGATTTTAGTGGTTCTTTAATTATTAACTAGTAGTTTAAGGAGGATTTATTGAATTAGGAATTTCATAAAATTTTGTTTTTTTTTCTTTATTTATAAAAATTTTAACAAATCCATGGTTATTAGATATATTCTCTCATATAAATATTTGTACAATTCTATCAGAATCCTCTTGTTATAAAATATGAAAAATATGAAGTAGGTTTTGATCTGTGCTTTGAAAGCGCGGATTTTTTTTTGGATCAATAAAAATTATTGATATGAATTAGTGTTTTGATTTTCTTTAATAAAAAAATGTATTATATCGAAGAAATTTTTGATTTTTTAAAACAATAAGAATTTATCAATTAGTATATGAGTTTTTGTATGTATATTTTTGTCTTACAATATCATCTTGTGTGCATTTATAAGAATTACATTACTGAGTGGGTGAGACATAACATTTATTTGACAGTTTTTGGAATAATTTACTATTCTATATTTGTAGTGGTTTTAATAATTTTAGAAGTGTTTTTGTACTCGGATCCACAGTCGAACGGTAACTAGAGTTAATGATTTTAACTAATTTAATGTAAAATTACAATGTGTGATGCATCTATTTTTGACATTAATGATTTTTTAGTATTTAACATATGTTGATAAGAATATTCTTCACAATTTGGATATAATTTATAATATTATTTAATCATTATGAACAAATAATTTTGATTTTTTGATGATAAAATGGGATAAAGAATTTATTTTGTATATTATTCAAGCTTTTAGGTAGACAAAAAAACAGAAAATATATTAAAATGTTTTAAAATACATTTCTAAATTGATAATACATATAAAAGTAGAGATTTTTGTTACCTAAATAAATGTTCTCATTATGCATTAAATTTTGTTACCTATATATATATATGCATAGATATTTTTTTTTTCTAAATCTCTAAATCTTTTTAGATTAAAATCCATTTCTAACTTTGTATTTCCAAATCGGTTTCAGTTTTTATTAAATAATATAGATATGCGTAGATTTGACGAATATATAAAAACTGTATAAAATTTAAGAATATAGGTTTATGGTTTAGTTTTGTATTTCAAATTCATTATATGTCACAAAAATTTGTTTGTATTGAAGCATCAACTATTCAAGCTTGTCAAAAAATATTAATAATACAATGAAGTCTAAACTATAGAGAAGCTATTGTTTATTGGCTGATATTGTATTGGTTCGTTTTATGAGATATAGTGATGAGATAATGAAAGTAGTAAATAAATCATGCCCATATTAAAATACACCTATCATTATTTTGGTAACTATATCTTGATTTTAAAGTTTTAAATGTTTAAAAATGAATTTATAGTATTTTTGTTAAAAGATAATTAATATTGCTAGCTTTAAATAAGGGGAATAGCATGATCTGTAATTATCTTCGAAAACCAAGGATATAATCTTACGAGAGATTCTTCCTTAATAGTATAGATTTCATAGATAATTTATACCAAAGATTTTTATTTTAGATTATTAGAAAATACGTTTTACACTAGAGGTTCAATAGAAAGAAATACCTTCTAAAGTGGAGAGAGAGAGAGAGAGAGATCAAAAGCAATAATGATATCTTTAGTTTCCTTTTTGAGAAAATAAAAATCGAATATTTCTCAGATTTCATGTTTGTTGTAATTTATCGTTAATAAATCGTAAATAAAAATGACGATGACAAAGGTGATTCAAAAGGTTTACTCATATTTCTTGTCACGATTTTGGTGGTTGAGGGTGTTGATGACAGTAATGGGAAAGTTTCTAGTGGATCTTTTTCTGCTATGTCCATTATCTCCATGAAGGAAGTTACTTACCATCATGATGAACGGTTCCAAGGACGAGATATATTTAAATCGACATTGAAAAGGATAGATTATTATCAATTTTTCTCGAGTTTTTAGCAAAATTTATTTTCTTCATCTAGAGATACAAATCGAAGTTAGGTGCAATAGCGGAGGATATACGAAGAAGTTTGCTATATACTGATTTGGGGGCTTCTGATCCTCCATTTCAATTACTGATGGAAGTGGTAAGACAAGCAGCGGAAGAGAACCGTTTCATCATTGTGAGGTGCCCTCTTATGTCTCAACAATTGAATCTCCATGCAATTCTGGCAACAAGGCCAAGAAACTGGGGACTTGAAGGCTTGGTCCGTGGAAGAATCTTGGAGGATAAAAGATTCCAGTTTGTGTTCCCCTCCGAGGGGGCTATGGACCATGTTGCGTAGAGGTCCATGAGCGTTTGCGGACCGTATGTTGGTGCTTCAACGAAGGACTTCTTTGATGGACATGGAATTACTTAATTTCATTCTATTTTGGATTCAAGTCAGGGGCATTCCACTCAAGTATATGAATCGTGAGGTCATAGTGCATATTGCAAGGGCCATGGACCAATACATTCAGATGGATTACAATGAAAACGTTGGTGGCCGTCTAGAGTTTGTTAGGATCCGGTTGAACTGGAATGTTGCTCATCCTCACTGCTTCCAAAGGATCTTTATGTTTGCTCCGGGTGTCACCACCCTTCTCAAGTTTCAATATGAACGATTTCGAGGTTTTTGTGAAGTTTGTGGACTTCTCATGCATGATACCGGAGCATGTGTCATCCAAAATGGTGGTGGGGGTAATCAAGATGGAGGTGATGATTCAGAAGAAGAAGATGATATTGGTGAGGATGAAGAAGAGGAGGTCAGAGTTCCAAATCAAGGGATTGTGATAGAGGAAATCAATGAAGAGAAGGAGGCATAAGCAGTAGAGGTGATGAATGATCTTGTTCAAGAAGAATATGAAAGGAACATTGCTGCACTGGAAGAAGAAGCTGATGACGATGAGCTTTGGAATGAAGCGGGAAAGAAAACCATGTTTTCCCAAGACATCAATAATGAAGAAATGTTCATTCCCATTGATCATTTTGGGATTAAAGCTGGTGAGAAGGACTCGAGTTCGAAGAGGACAACTTAGCTCTTTGAAGCGAATGTTAACTCAATGTTTACTACAAGCAGAGAGATAGGAGAAGCAAATGGAGATAATTAGGCGAAGCGTAAGAGAGAAACTACTTTGGAAGGACAAGTTCAAGAAGCTATAGTTAATGAAGGCAGATTGATGAAACAAGTATGGTAAGAGGCGCGGTGGGCCCACAACCACCACTGCCTCCATGAGGACAATCAGTTGGAACTGTCAAGGTCTAGGCAATGACTCACCAGTTCGACGCCCAAAGGAGTTAAACAAGAAATATCTTCCGGACATCATTTGCCTTTCGGAAATAAAACAACAAGATGACTATGTCAGAGATGTGGGTGTTCAGTTAGATTTTCTGAATTCAGTTATTGTAACACTAATAGGGATTGGTGGTGGTTTATTTATCTTTCATAAGCACCATGCTTATCTTTCTGTTTCCAGTCAGTTAGCAAATCTAGTAGATTGTATTATTTCGTTTAACGAAATTCAGTTATTTTATTTCTTCCTGTATGGGCATCTTAATCCAACACATAGGAAACATACTTAGGAGAAATTGATACGGTTAAGTCTGACGAAAAGGAACACTCCATGGTTGATTCAAGGAGATTTCAATGAAATTTTAGGAAATCATGAAAAAAATAGGTGGCAAAGTGAGACTTGAGATTTTGTTTCATCACTTTCGATAAAGGATGAGATTATGTGATTTTACTGATCTACAAACACTAGGAAACTGATTTTCTTGGGTTGGAAAGAGACGAACACATCATGTTCAGTGTTGTTTGAATAGATCAATGGCTACTAGTGAATGGTTTAACTCTTATCCTGTTTCACATACTGAGTTTTTGAGGTTGGAGAATCTGATCATCGGCCTCTGGTGACATTTATTCTGATGGAAAGAGAGGAACCACGGCGTTTTTCAGATATGATAGTCGAATGGTGAATAAAGATGGTTTTCAAGATACAGTAAAACGAGGCTGGAAAGGCATGGGTAAGTCTCAGTTGTTACACGTACCAGTGATACAGAGACTCACAAGTTGCAGACAAAAAATTTCTCAATGGAAGAGGAATAATAGAAACAATGCGAGTGAGAAAACAAACATTTTGAGAAAACAACTTGATCAGTTAACTGTATCGACTTCATCATCTTTTCAGGAACAGAATAATGTCAAGGATCAACTACATCAGGCCTATCTAGAAGATGAGATTTTTTGGAAACAGAAAAGTCGTGTTATGTGGTTACATGCTAGAGATCGCAATACAAAGTATTTTCAACTTCTATTCAGGATGAGAATGGAGTCATTCGTAGGGGGAAAAAAGAAATTGCTAATGTAGCAGAGATATATTTTCAGAATTTGTACGCCGCAGAACAGGTTGATCAAGCAATATTTAGTGATGTTTTTGAAGGTTTTCCTCAAAGAGTTATTATAGAGATAAATCAGTATTTGACTAAAATGGTAACAGAGGAGGAGGTCAAGATTGCTATATTTGATATGAGAGCAGATAGAGCACCAGGTCCAGATGGATCAGCAGCCTTCTATCAAAACTTTTGAGATGATATTAAAGATAAGATTATGCAAGAGGTGGAGAAGTTTTCTGAAGGAGAAGGAATTGATATGCAACACAATCACACAAATTTGTGTTTGATACCAGGTTTATTCCCCTTCAGAGATTACATAATTTAGGCCCATAGCCCTCTGTAATGTGTCTTATAATATCTTCTTTAAATTTCTTGTAAATCAATTGAAGGTTCATCTCCACAGAATCATCTCTGAAAATCAAGCTTATTTCATCCCTGAAAGAATGATTACTGAAAATATAGTGGTCGCTCATGAAGTCTTTCATAGTCTAAAAGCCTGTAAGAGACAAGCAACTTCATATATGATGGTGAAAACTGATATCACCAAAGCTTATGATCAGTTAGAGTGGTGATTTCTTGAAGTTACTATGCAGCAGACATGATTCGATGAGAAACTGGTCGGATGGATTATGTCTTGTATCACAATAGTTAAGTATTCTGTCTTCATTGATGGAGCACGAAAAGGTTATATTACACCACAAAGAAGAATAAGACAAGGAGATCCTCTGTCTCTTTATCTTTTCATCACGTGTGCTGAGGTTCTTTCTCATATGATGAATCAAGCAATGGCAAACCGATCTTTGAATGCAATCAAGATTGCTAACCAAGCCCCATCAGTAAATCATTTATGATTTGCCGATGATTCACTCTTCTTCTCACTAGCCAATAAAAGAGCTGCGTTGAAGTTAAAAAAACATATTTGCAAGATATCAGGCTATCTCTGGACAAGCCATTAATTATGGTAAGTCATTTATAGCCTTTGTTCAAAAGGTTTTAGGCACAACAAGAACAATGGTAAGGAACATCTTAGACATTCACAATGATGAAGGCATTCGAAAGTATTTGAGTTTGCCAGAACAGTTTGCAAGTTAGAAGTCTGAGATGTTTAATGACATTATAAATAAAGTTAAAGCAGTTACCCAAAGATGAAAAATATGTCACATGGAGGGAAAGAAGTATTACTCAAAGTGATTGCAATGGCTATGCCTATATACTCCGTCAATGTTTTTAGACTCTCAAAGGAAGTCTGTGAAGTAATAAATGGAATATTGGCCAAATTTTGGTGGGGATAAGGTGATAAGAAAGGAATCCATTGGTATGCTTGCCAAAGAATTAGTGTTCCAAAAAGAGAAGGAGGCTTAGGATTCAGAGACTTAGAAGCGTTTAATCAGGCTCTTCTTGGTAAACAAGTTTGAAGAATACTTCAAAATCCTTCTTGTTTGATGGCTCGGCTACTGAAGGCTCGTTACTTCTCAGATTGTAGCATTTTGGAGGCTGTTCACAAGAGAAAGCCTTCTTATGCTTGGAAATCAATTCTGTTTGGGAAATAATTGATAAAGAAAGATATGAGATATGTAGTTGGTAATGGATGATTGATCGATATTTGGTCAGATTCATGGCTTCCGGAGCATCCTCCTAGACCACCAAGAGCATGAGGAGAAAGAATATGGAAGATATGATCCAGTTATTATTCAATCATGATGCAAGTGATTGGGATAGTAACAAATTACAAGAGTTCGTTGTGGATGAGGATATTGAAAATATAAAGTCTATCAAAATTAGTATGCATGCTATACAAGATTTGATGGGTTGGAATTACAATGCGGATGGTATATACTGTTAAATCTGGGTATTAGCTTGCTATACCTCTGACTACTGATAATATTATCCTTTCTACCTCTATAGAGAGTGATTTAAAACATAAAGTCTGGAAGACTAAGGGGCCTGAAAAGATAAAACATTTTCTATGGAGATTGATTACCAAAAGTTTAACAACAGGAGAGAACTTGAGAAGACGACATATCACTCAGGATACATTATTTAAGAGGTGTGATCGATGTGAAGGAGCAGATTTACATCTCTTCTTTGAATGCAATTATGCAAAAGGGATTTGGAGAGCATCGGGTGTTTCAAGTGGGATCATTAACAGTAACACTACCACTTTGGAGGAGAAGACTGAAGCATGTATGATGTATTCTACATCTTCACGTTTAGTTCACTTACAAGAATTGTCAATATATATGGATCATTTGGAGATTGTTGAAGAGTAGAAATATTCTGATTTTTCAACATAAACGCATTTAGTGGAGAACAATATTGCGGTATGCAAAAGAACTATACTCATCATACTTGTCAGCTTTGTAAAGTAAGCAGAAATTCCCATGATGTGAAATGGAAAAAGCCAATGGATGGCTGGATCAAGTGTAATTTTGATGGATCATTTCAATCATACCAACTTGCTGCGAAAGCAGGATGGGTGTTAAGGGATTCACAAGGTGTTTATAAAGGTACAAAGAGGGTAAATAATTCTCTGGAAAGTGAGTTTCAAGCAATATTAATGGCAATTCAACATTGTTGGATCAAGGTTTACAGGAATATAATTTTAGAAGGAGACTGCAAACGAGTAACTGATGTCATGAATTTTTTGGCTCTTCACTTTGATGGCTACAACTGGGTTCGTGATATCAAATGGTGGATACAAAAGTTTGAAAATGTCAAATTTCATTGGATAAAGAGGGAAGGTAATAAGATAGAAGATCGCCTAGCAAGAACTTCATCAAATGCACGCTTTGTAACAAACTTCCTCCATGAGGATTAACTTCTATTTAAATAATAAAATAAGAGTTATAAAAAAAGAAATACCTTCTAAAGAGACGGAATTTTAAATCATAAAAATATAATGACACATTCATCTTGTCTCTCATATTAGCAGTTGAGGATCCTTTTGTTTCGTTGTTGCATAACTACACAAATTCAACAACTAAACAAATTATGTACTTTACCTTGAGTCTAGAGAGATGGATGGCTCTGAAACATATAAGACAAGGCCCACATGAGCGTAAATCTCGAATTCTGATAGCTCGATTTGGTTAAGTTTCTTGCATGCCTGCGTATTTCACAAATGGATTTTATATCATTGTTAGAAACAACTAATGCATGCAATGTTACAAGATTCCAGAGCAAAGAGAGTGCAATAAATGTAGTCATCAATAGTATATACCTCTCTAATGGCTGTGACTTCAGCATGTGCAATAGGGTCAGTATATCTCAAAACCATGTTGTGGCAGCTAGCGACAACCTCATTCTTGTGAACAATAACGGCACCAAAAGGGCCACCATCACCACAGTCAACTCTTTTGTAAGATTTTTCAACAGTTTGGGTTAGGAAGTTGTGGTCACTGTCTTGCACAAATGATCAAAAATACAAAAGTAGAAACATAAATACCGTGATACAATATTCAAACTAAATAAAAATGTGGAAAACATAGAGAGTCATGATAGAGTAAAACATTCAAAATCACAAGGGATATGACAAATATAAGAATTGGGGGAATATATCATACAATACATCAAAGTGCATGCATACCTCGTTGGTGATCGGCAAATGCAGTAGCGACGGAGATGGTTCCGTCTTTTGCTTCAACTACACAAATTTAATGAGCAAGCAATCAGATCTTCCAGAAAAATCATTTGCAGATTGTGGATCTGGCATTAGAAGGATCACAAAGAATCTGCTGAGATGGTACTTTTAATGAGGTGAATATGTTTCTTTGGTAACAAGATATCTGACTGAATGGATATCTAAAGATAAACGAACATATGTATACTTAACCTTAATTCCTAGGTTACTTCTCTCATTTTATTCAAAATATTTATATTGATGTTTCACATGGCTCAATATTAATATTCATATAATTGAAGAAAACCGATTTGCTATTCAATTAAAATGCATGTTAAGCTTCTTTTTTTATGTATTATAAAAAGTTGCATCCAATCTCAAAACAACAACCATAATAAAATGTATTTATATTTCAAACTTATTAATCATCCAAAACTATTAAAAATTAGAAAGTCAGTTAAGTTAGTAATGAAATTTAAGTTGAGAAAATTTGAATAATAAATTTTTTGAATTTTTGCTTTCAAAATCTAAATATCCAAACTCGACCAAAATGACCAAACCCAAACTAAAAATATCCAAACCCATTGTGATATGTAAAATATACACGAATGATTATTAATTCCCAATACTAAAATACTAAATCCAAACCCAAATGAGTACCCCAAACACTCATGTTTAATTCTGGCTTTGTTTATTAAACATATTCTCTTTCGGTCTATCAAACATAAAGTTACCCTCATAATTTATAGTAGATTTTTCGATTGAGAAGAGATCATTGGGGATTGAAGTGAAATATGAGAGTGCCAGTACCGAAATTGATTTAAACTGATTAGACCTTTATTAGTCTCGAGCCAAAGTTAGAGGTAACAAAATGAAACCTCTGGATAAACTTTCTATTTTAGCTTGAGAAACACACCAAAATTCACTTGGCAAAGAGAAATTCGTTAAGCGAAAAGTTAAATCGATCATAAAACTGAAAATTTACAAACAAAAAGTATCATACTTCTTCTGAAATTTCAGAAGCTTGAAGGAGTAGAGAGGTAACTTTTCTCTCTAAAAAAAAAAGAAATTCATTAAAATTGGTGGTTAATTATCTATACTATTAAAACATAATCTATATTAGGATTATACCCATAGTATTCTGAGGTATTTGTGAAAGAATACCATTACTTTTTAATTTTTTTTCTTTAATATTTGCACAACCTAAAATTTGGCCAACCAGAAACTAATTTGATTTCAAATATTAATCTCTACGAATTACATGGCTCATGGAAACAGTTTATCCCACCATGCCCATCGATGATATTTGTTATAATTAACATTTTCTTTATTTAAGCCCATTAACAGAATCATAAAAATCCTATACCTTTATTGAAGAATCCTGAACTATATAAACCTTAAAATATAACACATAACAAAAATAAATAGAAATTAATAATATGATGTAATAATCTATTTATGTGCGTAAAATCAATAGATTAACACATGTCTTAAATTTTTGCATATTTTATAAACATAAACAATCAACACATTTGTAAATAAATTATATTATCTTATATGAAAACGAATTTTATTAGTAACAAAACTTTATAGAAATTTGGAAAATAACTATTTCTGTGTTTTGTAAGCGCAAATTAATACTAGTATTAAATCCCAATACCGCAATACTCAATCCAAGCCCAAATGAGTATTCGGACGCTGATGCCTAATTCGTGCTTTGTTTTTTGAAAATAATCTCTTGGCAGTATAGCAAACATTAAGTTATTCTCATAACTCATAGTAGATTTTTCGATTGAGAAGAGATCATTGGGGATTGAAATGAAATCTGGGAGTGCCACTACCAAAATTTGATCTAAACTGGTTAGACCTTTATTAGTCACGAGCCAAAGTTAGAGGTAACAAAATGAAACCTGTGAATAAACGCTCGATTTTAGATTGAGAAACACAACAAAATTCACTTGGCAAAGAGAAGTCTGTTAAGCGAAAAATTAAATCGACCATAAAACTGAAAATCTACAAACAAAAAATCTCATATTTCTTCTGAAGTTTCAAGAAAAAAAAAGGCATTGGAAATAGTTTCAAAAGATATTTATCCTTGTTCCCGAAAGTAGACTATGCCACATGCATTAGCTTACACACCCATTCAATTAAAAAGAATGAAGAATTATGCAATTACCAAGAAAATAATACATATATACAAAATCAACAGTTTATTACTATTTGAAGAAAATATATAGTCTACTCCCTCCATTCCAGAAAATATTTTTTTTCAGATTTTTTGTTGTTTCATAAAATTAGATTCTCTATATTTTGAGGTACTTTTACATACTTTTAAGATACATTAATTAAAAATATTTGAATTGACTAAATATCATTTGTTCAAAGTTATTGAAAAGTGTATAATAAAACTAAATAAATATATTTTTAATATATTGATAAGGATTTTTTAGATCCTAAATCAAAGTAGTATAAAGGATGTCAAATCCAAGCCCAAGTCATTTTGAGGCAATGAGAATACAAGTATTTACTTAATCTAAATGCAATCAAATGAGTGCTGTTTCAAGTGACAAGTACTAATAAAACTAAAATGAAACTTAAACTCTAATTCAAGAAGATTAAAGAAGACTCATGAGCATAGGGATTTGATTTTAGGTGACTAGGATTCAATCTAGGAGTGGCAAGCAATCAATCACAATGCATCCTTAAGTCTAAACAACATTACTAAGCAAGTTCTTTGTCAAGAAAAATGTTCATTTGCTTATTTAATCAAACAACAAATATCTTTGGTTTAACTAACTCAAGCAATCATTAAGACTGAGTTTATTAACTATCTAAGACTTCCTAGCATCAAATGTCTTTGGTTAACTAGTGTAAGAGCTAAGAAGATTTGGTGCAGGCATTTTATTGAGCACTTGTCATGATGAAATGTCTAAGGCTCTAGATTAGTGTGGCCAACACTAACCTAGCATTAAGAGCACTCAACTAGCAAGGATATAAGTAAATCTAACATTAATCACCCTAGATATTCCCCTAATCACCCTAATCACCCTAGCCAATGGATCCAAAGATGTATACTCACTAATATACATGAATAACCTATCCACAATGAATGATTGTACATTAGACATCATTAGTGATCAAGTTTACTCAAATAACAAAAGAGAATAAGATGATAAGAAGCTAAAGTTTTGATCTTTCACCAAATATGTTCTTTGTTTTTGAGAAAACACAAGATAAGTCCTTAAATTAGGTCTAAAATGTATTTATACTAGCTTAAACACGAACCAGGTCAACCCAACAAACCTGAATCAACTCGAAAACAAAAGGGTAAAAAGATCCATCATGGCATGCTGAGGCTGCTGGGGGGTTTGGAGCGGCATTTCGTCAAAGTGACATTTGGCCGCTGGGTGCAAAGGCTGCTGGGACCCTAGCCAAATATTCATCTTCTTCGTGGTTTGTTATCAGTGGCTACACACACCGCTACAGATTGCCGATTGAGAATCTTCTCTTTTCACCAGAAATATAATTTCCCAGCTGCGTCATGACATGTCCATTAGGCCGCTGGGGACCAAAAAGCCACTGTGACACTTGGAAAAATCTCCTCCCGACTCAAAAATCACCATTATTGACTCCAACACACTTCTAATGGTTTCATGGTTATCATCTTCTATCTTCAACACCTGATAAGTGCATATGCAATGACATGCATCCTAAACATGCTTAAATACTATCCTATATGATCAATATGCACAAGATAAGATGATCAAAACCATGCAAATATGTTATATATCATATATTTGAATCGTCTCAAAATCTTACTTTTGGAAATGAAAGGAGTAAAACAAAACCGTAAACTCTACAAACTAAATACAAACCTTAAACAAAGCTTTGAAATTAATATTGTCATAACTAATTTTGCTCACAAGTAACAAGAGTCGGTATATACCCAGCAGAGGTCCTATTCCAATTTAAAAAATAGTCCATTTATTTATAATTTTTTTTTTATCTAAATCTAAAAAAACTACACAAATTTTTGAGCCCTAAACAATGATTTACTTTTTCTATGCTCTGGGCCGAGCCTGCAAGTAACTAATAAGTCTTTTGCTCCTCTTTAGATATGGTTTACCGATCGAGAATCTGAGTTACTCCAATACATGGTCAAGTCTTTCTTCTTTCTTATTCACGTGGCCTGAAGGTGAGTCTTAAAGAATCCATCAAGACTTTGTTTTGGTTAATGAATAATGATTATATCATTGTTAAGTCAAGAGCTGAGAATTTCAGATGAAACAGTACTTTCAAATCCAAAGCATATCCAGGAATAATAGGCGAACTTGATCCTGAATCCATCAACCAACACATATTGACAAGAAAGATATAAAAATAATAGTAACGATAATAATAAACTAATTATATCCCCTACGCATACCAAATGGCAGAAGCTTATCATAAGAGGTTCTATGTTGTTCTAACTTCTAAGAGACCATTTTGTCTCTTTCTGTTTTTATATTCGTTACCAAATTTTCAAGGGGTTATTTGTGTACCAACCAAAGAAAAAAGAAAGATTAATTTTTTACAGAGACGAAAGAGAGAAACATGAAGAAAAAAATTGGAAGGTGTGTTTTGGTTCATTATCAAATTAGGAGTTTTTTTTGTATACATATGGACGGAAACATTCTCCATTTTTTCAAAGGAAAATTAGGTGAGATAACAAACAAAAATAATAATCCATTATCTAATTTTTATCACATTCTCTCTTCTCTTTTATTTTCTTGTCTCTTTCTACTCTTTATCTACAAAACTAATTTTATTTTTGTTAATTATTTAACAAATAAATTATTTTTCAAAATGATCTCCCAAAAAGAAATCATTAATTAAAAAAAGAAAAATAGATTTCTGAATCAGAAATGTTATTTAGTTTATCCAAAAGTCCATATTATTTGCTTCCAAATTATACCCTCATCCAAAAGTCTGAAATTATTAACATATCCCATCTATTCTATTAAAATAGAGTCATTCTTTTTATCTACTGATACAAGTTGTTATTTAAATTTGGACCCTTTCTAGAGTGTTACAAATAATACAAGTTATATAGTTGGTTGAACCGCATTACTTAAATTAAACCGGAGGTTATTTATGGAATAGAGTTTTGAGATTACTTTTGTTTTATGACATTTAATTGTTTGGTTTTTGGGCTTAATATTAAAAAAAAACTCCAAAAGCATTATATAAACTTTCCACCTTAATGGGTCAAAAATCAATTATTATTTTCAGGCCCAAAAATATTTAATATTTTCAACAAAACAAAATTATCTATTATTAATCACTTATTCAAATCATGTACTTTAAAACATGTTAATATTTTTTAGCGCAAAAATATTTAATATTTTCAACAAAACAAAATTATCTATTATTAATCACTTATTTAAATCATGTACTTTAAAACATATTAATATTTTTTATTTTAAATAACAATCACTCTATCTTGATAAATTTTAATGGTAACTTTTAAATAGTTTATTGTTTTAGTTTTCTTAAATAATTTACAGATTTAAAAAAAAATGTAAAGCAATACCAAAAACCAAATCTAAAAACTAAAATCCAAAACCAAAAGCTGAAAACGCAAGTTATATTTTTTGCTTTTTTTTTATTTACAAAATAAACTATTTCAAAATTTCTAGAAAATTATTTTGTCATCTTTTCAGTTTTAAATTACATGTTCGATTAATTGAGATTTATCTGTTGGTAATATCAGTTCAAACTAACTCAGCGGGTCTAAAAATTAAAAATCCAAACCAAAAGCTGAAAATCAAAAATAGAAACTTAAAAACTAAAAACCGAAAACCAAAATTTAAAACAAAATCTAAAAATAAAAAATGAAACTAAAAACTAGTGAAAAATAACTATCACCACAAATTTTGGTAAACTAATTTTATACCAAAACATTCTTTAAATTAAGACAAAACTCAATTATATAAATTTTTAATCATAAAAAATTTCCGCGATTTTCAAGCGCGGGTCAAAATCTAGTTTGGATTAAAGGTCACGATATATTAACTTGAAACGATAAAGTTGTATAAAAGGTCTGAAACATACAATAAACATAATGCTTAGATCTTCTCTAATGACTCACTCTAT